ATATATAGGATTAAGCCGGCGATAGATTGAGATAGAATACATTGCGATGATGCCATGGTAACCGTTGTTATTTGATAGAATACATTACACAGGAAGTGAAAAATAATAAAATTCATTACTGATTATTATGTAATGTTTATATTTATGTCAAATAAAATGTAAAATAACTTTTAAACTTGGTAAAAATAATATAAAAAAATCCTTATGATTATCCTACTCCTGATACTCTATATTCATATCATTTTCTGAAGTTTCACTTCTACGATGTGTGAATTGCACACACTCTTTTTTTGTTTACTTATATTAAGGTTACTTATTATTATTAATAAGCTATGTGATTAAAGTTTTTGTAAATGTTTCTTAAACAACTTGCCCGCGACTTCGTTCGCGTTCAGATTACCAAAAACCAAATTCTTGGGTTTTACATATTATTATATTCTTACATTGCGGTTTTATATTTTTTTTCAAAAATGAGATATTTTCCCGCGGTAAAAAGTATCCTTTATGTTGACCCGGATAACCAGCTCTCATCATAGCAAATTTCATCAAAATCCCTCCAGCGGTTTATCTGTGATGCGGTAACAGATAGACGGAGAGACAAAAATTCTAAAAATTATTGATTTGGCCTCTGTATCGATAATAATGTTTATTTCACAAAGATTTTCCAAAAAATATTTAATGTACAGATTCGGCTTGGTTACAATTTTATTCTATGTATAGATTTTAGAAGATTTTTGAATATGATTTGTATTGTCAAAGAATTTGTGATTTCTGCCTTTCAATTTTCTTAAAAGCTGAAATCATATCATTTTATTTTTAAATATTTTTTTTTCTTAGCATTAGATAATCATGGCTGAAACCGTCCCTTTCATCATCCCTTTTCTCTCTTCCTAATTTCAACCTCATTAGGAACGATCGCACTTGTAAAAGAGGAGGAGGTGTTTGCATATATCTCAAAAGTAACATCTATTACAACATAATAAAACAATCCCCTAATACTGATGACTGTAACCTTGAATTCCTTTTTCTTGAAATTATTTCTCATCACTCCAAAGTTCTTCTTGGTGTACTTTATAGTCCCTCTGTAAACGTTAACTATTTTAGCACGTTGGAATCTCTTCTTGAATCTCTTACACCTTCTTATGAGCATACCATTCTTATGGGCGATCTTAATACGTGTCTCCTCAAACAAGATACTCGATCACATAAGCTCCAATCCTTAATAGAATCTCTAAATATGACTATACTTCCTCTTACTGAAACCCATTTTTCTCCTATCTCTAATCCTTCTCTCATCGATCTTATAATTGTATCTAATCCTAAAAATATCCTTGCTTTCGGCCAACTCACTGCTCCCTTCTCCTATCACGATCTCATATACATCAGTTACAATTTGTCACTCCTTAGGCGTAAAGCCAAGATAATCTGGAGGCGTAATCTCAAAAATATCGATTACGAGAAATTTTACTCTGACCTGGTCAACATAGATTGGTCCTTATTATACAATGTCACAAATATAGACGAAAAATTGCAAATACTAAATTCCAAGATCACACAATTATTTGACATTCACGCTCCCGCTGTTCCAATCAGAGTAAAGCACTTGCCAGCGCCTTGGCTAACTACAATCAATCAAAAAAATAATGGCGAAACGCAATAAAGCTAAGAACAGATATAAGCGATATCCTACTGAGTCTAATTTTGCAGCCTATAAAAAATTGCGTAATCTCTGTAATAGGATGTGCAGAGATGCTAAGCGCCGCCATATCCACTCATGTATCTTACATTGCACACCGGCTCAAACTTGGAGGTTTTTTAAGTCGCTAGGTGTGGGTAAATCACAACATTTGTCTCTTGAGTCCGTCAATGTCAACTGCTTGAATCAACATTTTTCAACTCCGCCTGTTCAAATTTCTGATATCGAGAAGACGTTAACCATTAATCAACTTACTATGACTAACCAACCTAACTATGACCCATTTGTTTTTCAAGAGATCTCAGAGGACGATGTTAAGAGAGGCATTCTTTCTACTACTTCTAAAGCCGTTGGGAGTGATGAAATTAGTCGTGATATGCTGCTTGTAACAGTTGATCACATCTGCCATATATTAACTCACATTTTTAATTTTTCATTGTCTTCTAGCTCATTTCCCGCGGCTTGGAAGTTAGCACATGTTATCCCCTTACCTAAATCTCCCAATCCTATTGTTCCCTCACAGTTTCGTCCTATCTCAATTCTTCCCATTTTGTCGAAAGTTTTTGAAGGCTTAGTATCTAAGCAGATGTGTCAGTACTTATTACGAAATAACCTATTAAATGCTTTTCAGTCTGGCTTCCGTCCTTCGCACAGTACGACTTCCGCTTTGCTAAAAGTCACTGACGATATTCGTTTCGCCATGGATAATAAGAAAGTGACTATTCTTATTTTGCTTGATTTTAGTAATGCCTTCAACTCAGTGGACTTCGATGTTTTACTTTCTATCCTTGCCTCCCTTAACTTCTCGTCTTCTGTGATTGATTGGTTTAAATCATATCTTTATGATCGCCAGCAGAGAATCTACTGCGACGAGACTATCTCAGAGTGGTCCAATCTCTTCGCAGGCGTCTCCCAGGGTGGTGTGTTATCGCCATTGCTTTTTTCAATTTTTATTAACCAACTCCCACAGGTACTCTCTTCTAACTACCACCTATATGCGGATGATCTGCAACTTTATAGACATGCTTTGGTCGGGGACTTAGCGTCTGAAATAGACAGGATAAACCTCGATTTGGCAAGAATCAAAGATTGGGCAAAGTCCTTCGGACTCCTTGTCAATCCAATAAAGTCTCAGGCCATGATCATTGGTAGTAAGCAGTTGCGGAACAAAATCGACTTCAACAATCTGCCTGACATCATCTACGATAACACTTGCATCAATATCTCAGACACGTGTAAAAACTTAGGTTTAACAATCGACTGCAACCTGTCCTGGGCTGCGCATGTCAACGAGGTCAGTAAGCGCGTACATTATTCACTTCATTCCTTGAGACGTTTACAGAATTTTCTTCCGTTTCAAACTAAAATTACCGTAGCTCAATCACTGCTAATCCCTCTACTCGAATATGCCGACGTCTGCTATCTTGATGCAACCGAGGAGCTACTCGACAAGCTAGATCGCCTTCAGAATTTGTGCATCCGTTTTATATTTGGATTGCACAAATTTGATCATATAAGTATTTTCCGACGGCAACTGAAGTGGCTCCCCATTCGTTTTCGCCGAAACGTTCGTGTATTATGTGTGCTTTACAATATTTTGAAGACTTCTACACCTTCTTATTTAAGTGAACGCTTCACATTAGTGTCCCCTAGATGCAGACCAGTGCGTTCTTGTGTCAATTTGCCCAAACTAGTGGTTCCTCACTACAATACTACATTCTATAAAAAATCTTTTTCTGTTACGGCAGCAAGTTTGTGGAATTCACTGCCTGATTATATTTTCAAAGATGATCCCTCATTCTCAACATTTAAGTTTAGAATTAAACAATACTATTTATCAAATCAGACATAAATTATTGTAGATTAGTATGTATTTATATGTAAGTATATATGTTTGTTTGTATGTATGTATGTATATATGTATGTATTTATATATGTATGTGAATATATATATATATATATATATATATTTGTATAATCATAATATTTAGTTAATATATGTATTTTAATAATAAGACAATTCCATTCAATGCTGTACTGTACCTACACCGCACTATATTAACTTATTTTCTCACTTCTGAAGGGTTTCTGGAAGAAATCTCTTAAAGAGATAAGTTATCCTTTGTCAACATTTTGTTATTTTATTTTGTATAACGTATATTTTATGGTACATAAATAAATAAATAAATAAATAAATAATTAGAATTACTGTTTTTATTAATAATACTGAATTACTACACCAGCCAATAGTGTCACTCCAATCAATACAAAACATTGTTTATTATAAATCTATACTAATATTATAAAGAGGTAAAGTTTGTGAGTTTGTGAGGTTGTAGGAGGTAATCTCTGGATCTGCAGAACCGATTTAGATGAAATTTGGTAAGAAGATAGATTGAGACCCTGGAAAGGACATAAGATACTTTCTATCCTGGAAATCATCCCTTAAGGGGATGAAAATGGAGATGAAAGTTTTTGTGGGGAATCAACTAGCCCGAGCGAAGCGAGGGCGCGTCGCTAGTAATTAATAAATTTTGAATTATTTTTTTTATAATTGTCAAAATTATTATTTCTCAGTTTCTCAGTATGATAATAATACTATCAAATTTTGTTTTGGCATATACGAGTATTAGTATAATAGTGTTAACTGTTACAATTAAATTAACATCGGCATCGTGACCTCTGAGACAATTTTTCGTGATTCACAATAGTTTGGTATTTTGTTATTGACATACATTTGAATGATTCACCTATTTAGAAAAAGTAGATAGATACGTATGAGTAGTTTTTAAGACACATTTTATTAAAAAAAAAACAATTAATAATATGTGGCATACTTTGATTATATACATAAAAAATATTAAGTAAAATGTCATTATGTCTCGTGAATTAAAAAAAGGTAATGGGATAGTTACATGTAATTTCTCATGAGAATAGAAACTTACATCGCCTGTGCACTTTGTCTGTTGTTTTTGTTATGCATTTCGAGTTTTTGTTCAAGATAGTTTGATTCTTTGCAACAAAACTTTGTATCTATTTAAAGTTGTATATAGTGTCTGCTTCATTTGCCTATATGCATATTAAAGCGCTCCTGCAAGCTAGGAACTTTTAGTCGGCTATTGTTGGCGCACGTCATATATTGTCTATGGCGTGGTACCTTGGTGGTATAGTGGTTAGCTTGTACGGCTGTATACCCGTAGGTCCTGGGTTCGAATCCCTTTCAGCCGGGCAAAGTTCAGTTATTGAATTATTCTGTTAAGGAAGTCCCAATAACAGCCGGAGTTGGGAAGTTGGCGGTGTCTCACCCTCGTGCCTCGGAGAGCACGTAATGCTTTTGATTCGATCTCACCAGTCGTGTCGAATCATCGTCCCAAACGAAATTTGAGAGTAACAGAAATAGAGAGTGCACTTGTGTCTGCGCGTACACTTGTGCACTGTAATATCTCCTGTATGCAGTCTCAGTAAGATTGGCCGCCGTGGACTCAGTGGCCCGATCGGTCAGGTCGACATCATCATCATGACGTGCCTGGAAGAAACACTATATTAATTTATTGGACAATAATAATTTAGTAGCAGTAGTTAAGTTAAAGCATAATATTTATATACGTAATACGCGTTCCTGCGTACATATGTTTATACGTATGTATATATCTTTATAGGTACTGAATATATTCGATTAAGGACCCAATCAAACTACTGGCTAACAAAAATTCTGTAGTCTGCGGTGCTGTAAGTGTAAAATATGTTCGTTATTATTTCTCATGGGAAAGATGGAAGATAGTTAAAAATATTTTTTATATTGTTAAAAATATTTTAAATATTATAATCGTATGTAAGAACAAAGCAATGGATGTGATGATGTGATTTTCATACAGCATATATGCCAAGATAGTTAGGGATTTTGTGGGATATTCGACTAAATAGATTCTTATGAATACCGGATGTTATTAAATGACAATAGAACACGCGTAAAAGATATTTAAAAACTGTACAAAAATTTAAGGGATTATACAACAGTGAAACAGATGTTAATGCTAAAATTATTCAACACACGTTCTCTTTGAAGCCATATAGCATCCAAGTATAAAGAGGCAATATAACTGAATTACGAATTTATATTTTCTTTTGCGAGGTTTAAAGGCAAACTGAAGCTTGAGTAAGCCTTTGAGTCAGTGAGTAAACAAGTTTACCGGTGTCGCTAAGTTCTATGCGACAAGTGAAGCGAGGAACTAGTAAAGGTACCTTGTTCATATACGAGTAGCTTTTGCCGAAAGCTTTTGAGCTTAATACATTCGAGTTTCAAACTTAGTATCTTTAAACAATTTTTAATAATCGAATGACTTTTATTTAACTTTTGAATTTAATATTGATAAGCTTAGAGATTATTTTATATAGGTTTTTTATATCCCAACCTATAAACAAAATGTCACGAGCTAAAATGTCTTAATCTACCTGTATTTTTACGTATAAATATCTATTACATGATTCTAGGTTTATGAGTTCGTCCATTATATTTTGAAATTGTTATATTGTTATAAAACAGTGCTGTGAATTTCTGTCTTTCTGTTATGTATATTATGTTTATTTACTTATGAAGTAGTGTCTTATAATAAATAGTAATTTTACACTTTTGATTTTGAACATAAGTTATGAAGCAAAAACAAGTTCCACAGATGGATATCACACCTTGAAAACTATTAATTTTTATATCTATTCCAAGAATTAAAATTTTATAAATATTAATATTAATAATGAAAATCGTCTCTCATAGTTATTTTATACGTACGTGACAACAATCTAAGATGAAATTATAAAAAGAAGCTTATTGTTACATTTTTATTGCAGTTAACATGGATAGTATCTCATCCACAAAGAAACGGAAACATCTCACAGCAACTTCCCGTCATCTTAATGTGTCGCTCTTTGGGGCGACCACAATTTATAAGCTTTGTCAAGATTTGGCTTTTCTTATTACGTCATATTTTCTTAGATTTTTTTTTGTTAAAAATCTACTTGATTTTTGAAAAATATTGCTATTTTTACGTGCAGACCAAATAGCCGAATGAATTTTATTTTTAAATTGTAATTGATCAACGAGTATTGCCAGCATTGATATGTCAATCACCGTTTATCCTGACTTTGATCTGAAACACAATATTTATGTTTAAATCTTCTATTAAAGTCTGTTGGAATACCTCCGTACATTTATCTATTATATAGAAATATATAATTTAAGCAAAGTAAAATAGATATTTTGGTTTGGAAATATAAACTTTTTTTTTTGAAATATGTTATTATATTTTTATAAGTTAAGCAAAATATTTGTCTATACTAATTATACTACTCGTAGGTGATTAAGTCACTTGTAAGTAATTAAACTATTAAAAATGATACTTTATATTCGAATTAAATTAAAGAAGAGTAAAATGATGCATTTGTATATTTAATTAAAAAAAAAAACGATTCTACTCGTGCATCTCTTTAGAAAGTCCTACTGCTAGGCACGGATCTTTCTTTTAATAGGACGGAATTTAGGTCATCTTTACATGCTTTCGAAAACTAGTTAGGTTTTCTGAGACATGCAGGGCATACATATAGGTACATACAATATACACATCACGATGTGTTTTCTAACCGTATTAGTAAGTGGCAATATCGAAAACTCATGCCAGCTATCGTACTGTACTTATATGTTGATGGTATATAAATATATGTATCAGAAAACCGTGTCGTGAATCCCGTGAAACGGGATACATACGTCGTTTTTTAATCCCTCCACGACCGCGGACACGCCGGCGTTACAGTTAACAATAGATTTCCTAGAAATTTAATTAATTTCTTAAAAATTTACCTGGAGGTGTTATCATTCACTAAAGTTTCATCGTAATAGGAGTAAGGGTGCTCATAGGAACGTATGCTGAACAATAAGATAAACATACTTTTTTATATGATAATATTATATATACTTAAAGTATTTATTAAGCTATAATTTATTAACTAAACAATGTGTAAATTGTAATGGCTGTACCATTAGTGACTATTTTATTACATCATAGGAATTCACGCCAAATTGTTCAGTCAAAGGCTTAAATCCACACAACTTTGAATAAAGGGATGAAAGTTAAATTGGTTCTATTTTAGCTCAATGTGAATGCCGTAAAGTAATAAATTGAGTAATTAGTCTTTGACGCTTTTCTCATGCTATTGGGTTATCAAATCTGACCTGTACTTTTGAAGAAAATGAACTGAGATGATTTCCGTTTAAAATTTATAACTTGTTCGAAGGTGCGCGCTCATATTTTCTTCTCTAGAAAATAGAAATAAAAAAAAATTAGTTTGAAATATTGTTTTATAAACTTTCATACTCTATCCCATGGCAAGCTTTATTATCCTGAGCTAAATTGTGTTATACTAATTTCATATTAATTCACTTGGGCTTCTTTTGTATGAACTAATATCAATTATGCTGAAAATTGTTGTTTAAAAAAGCAAGTGAGTCGGACGGTATGAACAGAAAAGTGAGGTACTTATGGTTGTTCTGTATGAAGAACATCAATAGTAGTATCGTTTGAATAATAAACAACCTTTATGTAGGTACTATTTATATCGAAGGAACTTAAATTAAACTTAATAATTTTAAAAGCACTTAAAATGCTCAGAAAAATTATCACTCTATTCGTTACTTTAATAGAAACGCTGAAAAAGCTCTGTAAACGTAGAACTAGAAAGCAAAAAAGCTTAATATCAAAGCTTTTAGTTAAAGTTAATCTTTAAATTACAATTAGAATATGAGAGTGAATTTTTAATACTATATTAAATTATTATATCTACATATATTTTTAATTTAATTGATAATTATTTTAGTACATTTGTGCTGCCATAAAATATAACCACTGTCCATATTATTCAAGTCTACTACATAATTCATTGACGTCCAAGGCTTTATTTATATCATGAATAATGTTTAACTGACATAAAGGTATACATATATGTGACACTTTGACTCACAACACCATCTAACAAACTAGATAAATACAATTAGAAACAAGGCTCAAGGAGACTCTATATTAATGTTTTGGGTATTAACAAGCATTCAATTAAATTCTACGAAAGCCTTTATATCTCTTAAGTCTTAACAAAATAATTAGGAAATATATATATATATATATATATATATATTCATAGAGTAAGTTTAAATTGTCTTTTAGTAAAAAAAAAATTACGTTTTACATAATATTAAAGTGGCACAAAACTATGTTTTGAAAAAAAAACAACATTTTTTTTTCAAAATATGTCGTAAACGTTAAATTAGTGGGTTTTAAAGAAATAAAAGCTCTGTAAAAGCAACATTTAACCGCATATAATCATATTTGCGGTAATAAATATACATTACACGTAACGCGAAGCTCTAAGGGGAATTCAAAATTGAGCGTTAAGTATAAAATGAATTTATGAAGAAACTCTCAAACAATAAATTTGAGACTTCGAGCGACTAAGCGAGGCCTAGCCTTAATGAAAATACAAACAAAGTATACAACGTGCACATAACTTTAGCACTTATCTTTACGTTATAGAAAATATTGCTAGTGAGATAATGGAGATAGTGAGTAATCTAAGAAAACCATTAAAAACGTTTATCTATGGACCCAGTTATGCAAAAAACAGCCATGTGCGTAAAAGTACCAACAGAGTTATAAGCATTTTATAAAAAAAAAAAATAATTATAAAAGATAAACAATACTTATATAAATATTGTTCAATTTTAAAATAACCAGAAAAACAAAACATAACCCAAGTGCAACTATCGACAGAAAAATGCTTATAACTCTGTTGGTACTTTTACGCACATGGCTGTTTTTTGCATAACTGGGTCCCTATATTTGTCGTTTTTAATTTTGAACATAGATTTTAAGGTTGCATATATTTTTTTTTCTCTGACTGCCTCTATCTGTCACAGATAATGTATTCCGAATCTGCATAAGTAATTGAATTATAATTTTATGGGTTAATTCGAAATCAAGGCAAATTAATAAATTTAAAAGGTATAATCTAATATTAAGCTAAACTTTTATTGTTATAAAGTAATAAATATATTATTAATATATTCTAAATATTTTTTGAGTATTATAAAGCCTTTAAATTTTAATAATATTTGAAACTTTTCTTTATTGTAACTCCAATTTGCACTTGACTCTTTTTTGCTTCATTGTTTTTTGTGACTGTCGTGTCCTGACTTAAAAAAAACCTGTATGAAGTTGTACGCTTAACAATATTTAACGCTTCAAACTTCCATTTTTGTTTTTTTTTTATTTGAACTGGACGTATCGCTTTTTTAATTGTTGGTTCTTTAAAAGGTAAATATAGAGACACAAGGGTTCAAAAATATGGCCAAATACACTCATAATAGAACAAGATTTTTAATTAGGCAGTGATTTGAAAATGTAGCTCACCATATCTGTGAAGTGTGTATATTCTGTAACACACTTTACAGATATGGAGAGTATGTGCGAGTCGCTAGTGTTTAAGTATAATATTTTTTGTTGGATAACTAAGACTAAGTGTAAGGTTCCATGCTATAAATCTGAAAACGTGTGACAGGCGGAGCACGTAGTGATTATGTATATTAGCTTTACTTTTTCCTCCATAATGCTTTATGATTGAACTCGGTTTAACCGCTTATTTTCCATCCAACGTGTTATATGCAATTTTGTTTTAAGATAACCGGATTATAATATAATATAGTAAAAGAAAATATTTACGTTTAACATTAAATTAACAGGTCAATTAGCGTAATGGCGCGTGGCTTCACAATATTTGGTACTCACAATATATATATATATATATATATATATATATATATATATATATATATATATATATATATATATGTATATATATAATGGTTACAATTGTTGCGCATCACGACTCACTGTAACATAATGATATAACTCTACATTAAAAGTATTATTATATATTATGTATATACAGTATATATTGCCATACAGATATTTTTTATCTGTCTGCTGGCTATTTTTAATTTGAATAGACACCTTTTAAATGAAACTATGTTTTTTGGATTTGGTCGCGGTTTTATTGTACATTTTTGTTCCCGACGCGACGTATCAGATGCTTTACAGTAGACACGTTACGGTAGAGTCTAATGTTTTAAACATCTCAAAAGTTATTTTATATATTGTGGCAGGTGGTAATTACCCACAATATTATACAATAATTTGGAAGAATATAAAAATTTTGGTGCTATTATTACAATTCCTACATTTAAAAAAAAAAGCTTTTTTTTAATTTATCTTATTTACTGTAGCTATAACATAGTTATATATTGATCAATATTATTAATCTATTTATAAAAAATCTTTAGAATATTAATGTGGGTTATTAATTTAACAGAAATCAAAATATTTAGCAATACTATTGCCATATTTAAAAATTAAAAAATAAATAAAATCTAAGTTGACTCAGAATCCACAATCACAATTATGAGTGAGGAA